TTAGCATCCGATGCTTCATCATCCGAGGATAACCCTCTCTGCATTCTCTGATAATCCCTTTGTCTAATAGTTCCTGATCGTAACCGGGTTAGACGATGCGATACAAGCGGATCAGAGCTAGAAGGTCGAATCGATTTTCCCTTATCAACCATATTGATGGTAACCTCTAGGGGTTCGTCACCTTGAACGACCGATCGTTTCTTATGGAGACGCTTTTGATTGGACTTAGCCTTTTCGTTGGAGATCCTCTCAAATATCGCGACCCTCTGCAGAGCGGTCTTGGGGCAGCTGCACGCTGATAATACTGCCCTGATAAATTTGATACACGGACAGTGAGAGTCCGCTTCCCAGGTACTTCTCTTTCGTACCCCCAGCCCGATAGTACAACTCATCAACGTTGCGGTCGGAGTAACCTATCGGCTGCTTACATGGATTCTCAGGTATAACGAGTTCGTCTGTCTAACGCGTTTTCCTCTGAGTAAATATTGCCTTGTTGGCATCTACGGGAGTCGCACGTTTGGAATCACACCCTTGTGAGGGTGAAACCTTAACGGGCTCCTGGTTTTCTGCACGTACCCCCAAGCGGGCCGTTATGAAAATTAATTCGTTAGGAGGTTGCGTACGACCCCCAGTCTGGATGTTTGCTCGAAGTTCCTTCAACGGTCTCAAGCTTTCCTTAATAGGCGCTTTACCTCGATCCTCGGGTAGAGCACCGATGCAATCCTTCAACGGGACTCTAGATTTGGGGAGATCCACGCTGTCATAGGGCTTCGTCGGAGGTGCGAGAGCAATAGGAACGGGATCTGGAGTTGACAAAGGCCGGAGAGCAGCCTCGGATGCTTTTGCCTTAGTCTTTGGCATCCAACCTTGCTTAGATATTGGTGGCTTTTTGACCACCTTTCCTTTCTGTAACTCATGTGCATTCCGTACAAGGATCCTCGTCTGCGGTAGCAGTGCGCGGCGCTTGTGGATACGCTCCTCAAGAGTTGAACGGTTTCGTTTGACACGAACCCATTCATTAGTAGGTGGTTGGGAGGAGGTTCCCAAAGCTTGTTGCTGGAACACTTTGCGTCTTCGGCGTTTCAGATCCGCATCATAGCAGATCCCGTCAATAGGCTCCAAAGCCTTGGCAAATTAACGCGCGAGATGTTGACGGCGCCTTTGACGAGCGCTCTTTGTCAACATCGGTGCACATTCAACGGGCAACTCCTTGACTTTCGAGGAGTTGTCACGAACGTTGGATCTGGTTTCTTTGGAAGCCGGCGGATCGTTGCGAGGTGTAACTACAACATCGACGGCGAAGAGATCGTCTTCTTGGGTTTTCAGACCTGAAGACCAGCGGATCTTCCTGGGGGAGGAGGCCTTCCTGCACCTGCAAGGAGAGGCAGATCTGGAGGAGGAGGAGGAGACATACTCCTCGAACTTCTGCTGGTCAAACTCGTATTCGACCTCTTCGAGCACTGGGATCTTGATCATCGGCTGCGGCCCGACAGCTTCGGCAGCGGAGCTGTTGTGGTCGCCAGTTTGTTTGCGGTGAAAGTTGCTGTCTTCATTGCTATCGAATCTATTACAACTTTAGTCGTTACAATAAACTCGAATGAAATAAAAAGTTGATCTTTTTATAAGATCTCCTTACACAATGAAAATAGAAAGTTTACAACTTTATCAAACAAACGCAGAGATCGTTTATCGGTCTTCTGCTTGCGTGGGATCTTTGCCTATGTCAGGGTTTATCCGTGGACCACCGTCGATCAGATCTGATTGCTGAAAAATTAGGCAGAGCTTCGTCTATCCGCGAAGGGATCGGGAAAACCGTAGCTCTTATCTCGGCGAAGCGAGATAATCACTCTTCTTAAGATTACCGCAACGGGATAATCCTAAGGAACGGATCCGGGAAACTGTAGATCTGACGAATCTCTCTCTTGCGTTGAAGAACTCAATCCGATCTCTCCTCCTCCTCTCTGAAATCCTTGCACCTTCAGTCTTCAATCCGGCAGGGCTTCGCCTAATCTTCCAAAATTCCAGATCTGAAAAAATGAGGACCCGAGGGCTCTATTTATAGGTTTTACGGACGTCCGGGCGGTTAAAACCACCTAAAAGGCGATTTCTGCACTGGAGACACCCTAGGGTGTCTCAAACTGGGCCGAGACACCCTAGGGTGTCTCGCTCGTGCCGAGACACCTTGGGTGCCCCAGTTCAGCCTGAGACGCTCTGTTATGCCTGTTCGTCCGTTTCCGCCATAACTTTTTCATCCGAACTCGGATTTGAGCGATTCGAATTGCGTTGGAAAGCCGACGAAGAGTTCTATAAGCTTCAATGATTAAATCATCCACGGGATAAATGAGACATGAAGGGTATTTCACCGTTTGTGAACAATACGAGGTTCCCGGTCGGTTCATATCTTCACCATTCCGAAGTTCCGTTGTTTCACGTAGTTCGTCGGTTTACTTCAAGCGTTCGCTGACATCAATCAAGCTTTTGTGAACCAGATGGTGACGTTTATCGTCATTTCTTAACACTGAGCTGTTCGTGGAGACCTATAGGCAATTTTCGATGCCTATAATAGTCTACAGTTTTTGTCTATTTTCATTCATTTTGATGTAATTGTAAATAATGAATTGGATTTCAAAATTCATGATTTTCATGACCTATAACCCAAACTTTTGTTCATTTTTGTCTTTTAACCACATGGCAAATAATTATGCAAATTTTAAAATTCAAATTTTACGTGCACACATGATTTTCATCAGTTTTTGTTTGTTTCCATCAAAGATGAATAATTAACTAGAGCTTAAAATTCACAATTTTCATGAGCTATGACACATATTTTTAGCTTATTTTTTTCTATTTTGATTAAATGATGAAAAATTATCCATGTTTCAAAATTCATGATTTCATGAGATATAATTCATAATTTTTGTCTTATTTTTGTTTTCGACCAAATGGTAAATAGTTAATAAAAGCTTAAAATTCACGCTTTTCATGAGCAATTACCTATGATTTTTGTTCATCTACGTTCATTTCAACTAAATAAAAAATAATTATGCGACATTCAAATTTTACAATTCCATACCCTTTAACCCATGATTTTTGTCCATTTCCGTTCGATTTCACCAAATAGAAAGTAACTAATTGGAGTCCTAAATTCAAGATTTCCATCATCAATTTATCATGATTTTTGTTCTATTTTGTTCACTTCGACTAATTGCAAATAATTACATAGAGTTCAAAATTCATGATTTCATGAGCAATAATCCATGATTTTGTCTATTTTTATTTATTTTCACAGAATAGAAAATAATTAACTGGAGTTTAAAATTTATGATTTCATAAGTTTTAACCCACAATTTTTGTTCAATATTGTTCATTTTGACCCAATGACAAATAATTATGTGGGCTTAAAATTTCATGATTTCATAAGTTATAACCCATGATTCTTGTCTGTTTTTGCTTATTTTTACCAAGTATTAAATAATTAAGTGTAGTTCATATTCACAATTTTCATGAGATATTACCAACAATATTTATATATTTTTTCATTTCGAAAAAATGGCAAGTAATTAACCATTGTTCAAAATTCATGTTTTTGATGAGCTATAATCCATTTTTTTCATTTCGACCAAATCATAAATAATTATGAGGAGCTAAAAATTTATAATTTCATGAGCTATAACTCATGTTTTTTTCTTTTTTGTTCATTTTAACCGAATTAAAAATAATTTTGCAGAGTTTAAATTTTATCATTTCATGAGCTGTAACCCACGTTTTTTGTCAATTTTTATTTATTTCCACGAAGTAGCTAATAATTAATTAGAATTTAAAATTCAAGATTTTCTATAGTATTTGGCGGTAATTTTTGGGTTTATTGGCAAAAACCCATTTTGGTTGTGTGTGAGTTTAACAATAAATGGAGGGTAAGATTTTAGATTTATGAACAAAAAACTCTATGCAATTTGTGATGATATAAGCGTGAAAAAAATAGGAAAACGGGTAGTTTAAATATTTAGTTTATAATACATTATACACCTAGCCACTTAGTTTGCAAGTTACAACAAAAATTACAACTCGCAATACATAGTAACTGTTTAAATACAAACATAATTTAAAAGTAATTTATGGAGGTAAAGGTTTGGGTTTATAGGCAAAAAGCCGTTTTAGAAGTAGATAAGTTTAAAAACAAGGAGTAAGACGCTTGGTGAAGCAGTTTGGATAAGAGTGATTCTACACGTAGTCGAATTTAAAAATAAATAGGGGTGAGGCTTTGGGTTGATTAAAAAAACGGGCGAATTTAAAAATAATGGGTGTAAAACTTCGGGTTATAATAGGCACAAGAAATATTTTTATTATGCCTCATATTATTATATTACTAAAACTCATGGAGTATTTTGGTTGTAAAGAGGACATAAGAGTCTTCTGTAAGTTAGTGGGCTTAAAAATAAAGCGGTTTATAGTTAAATTTGTACGCAAGACGCCCTTTGTTTAGATCTCTTTTTTAGTCCATACGCTAAACCGTAGCATGCACGGTAAAATATTAAATTGGTTTACAACATTTGGACTTTTAGATAGAATGGAGCTATTATGAGTAAAAAAAATAAAAACTTGCTATACTCTGTCGTGGGATTGGAAGATTCAATCGTAGTCTCAGGGGGAGGTGAGCATCAGCTGACAGTCCCGGTTTATAAGTTAATACAGGCGCAGCGTTGCTCGGAAATTATAAAGTATAACGTGCCCATGGATAAATTACGAGCGGATCCATCCCTTTCGTTTTCGTATCTATTGCAGCACTAGAATTTGGCATCTTTGATCATCTGAGCACCTTTTATTATTATTATACATATGCTAATTATTAGCAAAATAGGTCTTGATCAAGCTTCCGCGTTTACTTATAGCGCAGTTCCGATATGTAAAAATTATCAGCTGCCCCATCGCAAACAGGGGGGATGCTTTTCAATCTGTATTGACAATTGATACACCAACCATACTAAAAAGGAAAGAAGACTGGTCACAAAATATCTTACGCCACCTTATCATAAGAGATGCCCGCAGCAATGCAATTGACAAGACATCTCAAGAGGGGTTACTTTTTCCTGATGAGCACTGCCATCATCTCATAATTGAAAACATTTTGATGCCTCTCGATTGTGAACTTTTTCAGGCTTTCCTCTAATTCTGCTGTCGTGCATACCCTTGGACAAGGATATGGAGACTAGGATGACAGTAGAAAGTGCTTATAACTGAAAGCCTGGGAGCAAATAAAAAGAGTTCGAAGGGCGCTACTAGCAGATAGTGAACCCACAGCGAGACAGTTTACAGATATACTTGTTACAACTGAATGCGTATTAGAATTTCAACAAGTATACAACAAGTCGATTAAGTCAATCAGCTTCGCCTGCAAAGCCCAACATAAGCAGCTTTCTTGAACAGCGGATGGGCATCTTCAACAAACACCTCCGCCTCCAGCATTTCAATATGAGGCCAAATCTGCAGAGAGAGGACAACACGAGTAAAAAGTGCTAAAATGTTCAGATCAATAAAGATTATCTAAAATAAGAAGGAATCATATACATATTAATAAAGCGTTAAGAAAAGAAATTATCAACCGTGAAAAAATGGATACCATTTACGCCAATCCACACATATAGCAGTAGAAAAAAAATCAGATAGCAAAGCTGCTTGAGAGCTTTGCACAGTTGATCCTCAAATTACGCATAACTAGATATATAAAGATTTAGTACACAATGAGCAAAAATCACCAGTCCAATACCCCAGCATAACCGTGAAAACAATTAAAACATGCAATGTCTTTTAGTTTAAAAATACACTGCACGTCTAACCATTGAATATAAGGTTAATTTTTTTAGTGACACGTAAATTTTTTTAGGATGCGCTTAAAGTTTTCCAAAGTATATAGTAGAAAACTAGAAAGTTAATTTTTTCATACAATATACTTAAATACTTCTTTTTGATGAAGTTTGTTTCTTTGTTCTGTTTTTTTTCTTCACAAAGCTTGTATTAGGATCATGATTTCATTTTATATTTAATTAACACGTGTTTAGTTACAGTTAAGTCATCAGATCATACACTCTATTGTGTCTCTCCCTTCGCTTAATTGCACGCATTGCATTGCATATTACGCATGTGCACTTACAGAGACTTTGCATCTAGCATAGTTGTGCACTTACAGAGACTTTGTATCGGGACTTGGTTCGCAAGAACTATACGACTGTTCGAGAGTGGATTCGGGGAATCGCACAACAATGAGTAACACTGTATAGCAAACAGTCGATGTTCAAAGTGTACTTAAACATAATTCAGCGAAGCCTTTTTCTTTTAAGGATACTTTAAGTAGATGAGTTCAAAAATAAATAGGGTAGAACTTTGGGTTTATAGGTAAAAATCCCGCATGGTAAGTGGATGGACTTTAAAAAAATCGAGAAAACTTTAAGTTTAGGGGCTGTTTGGTTCGCTATTATAAGGGGTGGAAAACTCAGAAAACCCCTCCACGTCAGATTTTTAGCCCTCCACGTCAGCTTTTTTATTTCCGTCCATTTCTTTGTGCCGCTTTGGTTCGCTCGAATGGAAGAGGGAAAACTCTGCTGAAATCGCCGCCAACTAAGATTTTTTCCCTCTCCGATTTTCTTCCCAACCAAGTGAAATTGATAAAAACTCTGCCACGTCAGATTTTTTTCCTTTTCTGCTTTGTTTACAAAAGTTTTCCTTTTTTTTCTATGCGAACCAAACACAAGAAAAATAAATACATTGGTTTCCCACCATTTTTTATGTGCGAACCAAAGAAAAACAATCTATTTCTTGGAAAAGTTTGGAAAACTCAAAATTTGTGTTTCTTTACATGGAATTACACTTCTCTATATCCAGGAAACGAACCAAACAGCCCCTTATAGAAAAAAACCTGTGGGTGGACTTTAAAAAAATCGAGAAAATTATAAGTTTATAGAAAAAAACCTGCGGGTGGACTTAAAAAAATAGAGAAAACTTTAAGTTTATAGGAAAAAACCTCCCATCTACAATTAGGGATGCTGGAACATTAGTACGAAGAAAGGCAGAAAATAATGGTTTTAAGAATTTGGTAAAAATACACCATATCTAGTGACCTATAATAAAAATATAGAAAGCAACACCAACGTATAACAACTTACACTATACGTAGCCAAAATACAAAGTGAATTTGAAACTAGTCCAATGAAATATTTTAGAGTTTCAGAGTGATTTTGAAAGTAGATTGATTTAGATCCTATTCATTACACAAAAGTAGCGGAGCGATCACTACTTTATGAATATTGTTGATTACCTAATTGATGATTATGATTTGTTTAGTACAAATTAGGTATAAGTGCAATATATGGAACTATAGCGCATGATAAATTTAGAATGAATCTCAATCACTCCCTAAATAATCAACATTAGCAAAAAAAAAAAAGTGTTGTCTCCACTACTTTTTGGTAGTATAGAGGATCCAAATTCAAAGTGGATGAGCTTAAAAATAATTGGGGGTAGATCTTGGAAGTGAGTGGGTTTAAACATAAATGAGAGTAAGACTTTAAGTTTATAGAAAAAAAAACTCATCTAGAGTATGCAGCGCCACAACATTGATTATGCAAAAGGTTTAAAAAAATCTCAAGCACTTTGTTTAAAATATACCATACATGTAATTAACTCAGAATGAAAATATAACATAAGCAAAAAACGGAAACTCCCACAAACGAAAATATAACAATATAAGCAAAAAAATAGCAACAAACACCATATAATTTTGTTTCGAAATACACAATGTACTTAATCACTTCGAATAAATATCTAATATATAGCAAGTAATAGCAAATATAATTTATATATTATGTCAAAATGTTGAAGTACAAAATGCATTTAAAGATAATTCAATAGAATAGTTTTGAGTCTAAAAGTGTTTTGAAATGGGTGGGTTTAGTGACAAATGAGGGTAAAACCTTGGGTTTACAGGCGAATAACGTGTAGTAAATATTGAAGTAGGCACGTTTAAAAATAAATGAGGTAAAACTTTGGATATCCAAGTAATAAGCACTTGGAATATGAGTGGGTTTAAAAGTAAACAGATAGAAACCTTAGGCATATATAAAAAAACAAAAAAAATGCTCTTGCTTTGGGTTAATACGGTGAACTGTAGTCGTGAATAGTGTCTAGCTACAGAATGAACCCCAATTCTTATAGTAGATAGTATAATATAATGTGCTTATACTACCATTTAATTTGATAAAGAAGTGCATTTTTTTCCTGGCTCATGGACTGACCTCAGTTGCATACTGCCTTGAAAAGGTCTTGACATAGCCCAATGTCGTTAGACACCACTGCTCTCGCTCCCCAATGTTGTAGCCATTAGTAATCCTTTCGCCATTTTTCTGACTGCAAATATTTCATAAGGCAGACATTAAAATTTCATCATGCAGCCAAACTACAGGAATATGAAGCACAAACAAGCAGATTTTGACAACTTGCCTGGAGGTTTTGCCATTATCCTGGTCAACATCCATTGCTGGTGGCTCTTCAGTGTCCATAGCCACGCTTTCCACATGAGCAGCCTTTAAATTAGGCAATTTTCCTTCGGCAGATACAGGAGGCAATCTTTCCTTCAGCACATCTCCAAGGTTCTTGTATAGTGACAAAAAAAGTGCCTGCATGGCCATCACCAAGTCAGGCCATTTATAAAACCACTTGTAGAAGGATCATGTTCAATTATCAAGGTTGCACATATTTCTTCTGATATATTTCAATTAGTTTGATAAATGCAACTCTTTCAAACTTCTTACCCATGTACCAAGTTATTTCCAAACAGAGAGCTTTTGAACAATATAATTACGAGACAACATGACATGGAATTAGGTCTTCTGTTTATCATAGTCATGCATTAAAATATTGACGTGAAATATAAGTGCTCCAAGAAGCTTCTACAAACCATTGGATTACTTCAATTAGAATTTAAAGTGAAAGTAACCACATTACAATTTACATGCAATAGCCTAATTCTACTAACATAAAGTAACAACATACACACACATGCAAATTCTACTAACATACACATACATGAAATAGCCAAATTCTAGTAACATACACATATATCTATATACTACTTATAAAAGAGGATTGTCATGTCATGTCAAAACTTTTGAATGCTTTTACTTTTTACCCTCTTAGTTTTCTTAATTCACAATTATGCCCATTATTTATAATTAATTCTTAATTACCCATAACCTCTCATTAACTATGTCCTCTCAGTTAATCCTTAACAATTAATAGTTATATTATTATTTAAATTTTTTAATTATGTACAATATTTTATTAAATAATTATTTTTTAATTAATAATTATCTAAATTATAACCTAATTTATAGTTGTTTTTATTATTATAAATTGTCAGTTATATTTTAATATAAGTAGTATAAATATTTTAAAATTATTCTTTAAATTAAGAATTAACAATATTATTTAATAATTATAACTATTAAATAAATTATTTTTCTACAGAACTTCGTGCAGGTCTTTAGGCAGACCTGTGAGTATTATTAATAGGATGGCAGGAAAAGCCATTAAACGATCACAAGGGTGGCTCACTAGAGATTAATCTCCACAGACGTCTAAGAAAATCCAGGATATTATAGATCTATCCTGGATGCAGTACAATAGCATGCCAACTAAGAACAAATCGACAAACCTAAAGAAAAACCAAAAACCAAAGATGGATCGAAAGTCATTAATTTCTTCAATAGGTAATCAAACCAATGTAATCTTCATGCATAGTCTGACGACAATGAGTTGGAAGCCCGCCCGCCCGCTACCTGAACAAAAGATAGTTAATTCATGAACTATATGACCGTGACTAGCCAAACAATCGGCACCGCTAATTACCCTCCTTATATATGTGTCTAATAGATATTTGCTGATCCCAAAGCACCAAAATCCAACAAAGCACGTGAGATAGCTTCCATGGTATATCCATGGTATTTTATTGCGAGATTCAACAATGTCCACTAAAACTTTATCGTCACATTCTATCTCACAATTTCTCCAACCCGACTGAATTGCAAGTTTAATACCTTCGAGAAGCGTCATAGCTTTGGCTACCATGTTGAGCAATGCCCATAATTATTAGCAAATGATCGAGAAGATACTTTGTGATCACGAAAAGCACCTCCTCTATCATCAAATCCATCAGTTGTCGAACCATCAATGTTTAATTTGATCTTGCCATAAATCGGTGCCGTCCATCGAATCCAACAACCATTACTCATCACATAAGACTTCAGAGGAATTTGAAGAGATTTAAAAATAATGCCATCGTGAAAAGACAGACTATTTAGGAGAGAAATGGGGGTATAATAGATCTAAGTCAGCCTGTAACTTTAACGATATTGTCATCGAATCATGTATCCTTATTCAAATATTCTTTTATTTTAATTGAGCCAAATTTCCCTAGAGAACAACTATAATCCTTGCAATACCCAACTGAGATCTTATATTACCACCCAACATCCACACCTCGATCATATTTGATATTGAATGACTAGTAGATACATTTAACATTCTCAAGATACTATTATTAAATAAGTTATTAAATAATAGTATAATAAACTAATTTACATAAGTATTAAATAAATTATTTAGTAATATTATAATTACCAATGATAGTATAATTATTAATTACTTAAAATAGTACAATGAAATAATTATACATACTTTATTAAATAAGATTATAATATTAATTACTTAAAATAGAACAATGAAATAATTAACTATTAATATTATTAAAGAAGATTATAATATTAAATATATTAATATGGTATGATTATTTAAATAAGTCATGATTAAATTATAATATTTATCCAAGTTATAATAATTATTCATAGTTTCATACAATTCTTTATACAATACAATTTTATTGCGCAATTTCATTGTTAATAACACAAAACTTTACTTGTTCAATTTAAAAATTTATATAATTACTAAAGTCATCTCACAATGTTCTCGTCAATGAAAAAATTCAAAATATAAAACAAGTACATGTGCAGAGCACGCACACTATATTAGTATCCACAAATACGTGTTAGATATAAACACGCGTTAAAGCCTCCAAGAAGGAAAATTTGTGTTAACACATGTTTCTTGCTATGACAACCACTAAGAGGTTATATAAAGTTTATAGCAAGGGAATAACCTGTCATAGTAAAGAAAATACTAATAGTAGGCCAACAGTGAAATAAGTGGAGAGAAAACCTACGGTCAAAAGGATTATTAACAGAGATAGATGCAGATCCTTATGGATTTGGAGCCGATTAATTCCTGTTAAAATTCAAAAATACAATGTCTACTTCTAAATCTACATTTATAACTTCTTTAATGATGTAGAAGTATCCAAAATTAAAAATTCAAGTATTTTAAATTATTTTTACTTATGCTGTTATGCATCAAGGAGGCAAAAATAGACATAAAAAATGATTTAGCTAAGATACATACGTCAGGACAGAAACTTTTGATCTAAACATTTTGATTCTAATCTAATACTTACACATTAATTTCTAATCATTAATTTCTAATCTAAACACTTGGAACACCCTTACATGCCAATATTTTTTATGCCCCGACCAGTTTATGTTTGGACTGCGCATGGCCGATGCATGAACAGGGAAATACTCTAGAATACTTAAATTGTTTTCTTTTTCTAGACGGTTTAGGTGATGTAAATCAAGTTTAAGAAAATATTATCTTCTATGTAAATGACCAAACATCAAATTTGAATAGGAGATATTGGCTACAAATTAAGCCAAGTCTCTCTCTTATTACCCATATTGATCAAGTGGCCACAATATTTCTATTTCTGTTGCATATATGCAAACATTTATATGATGCACAGGAGATCATACAAATAGTGGTGGATAATCCATTAGACTAGGCATGCCTAATGATACCTTGATCAACCGCTAAAAGAAGCTCAACATGCTGTAAATCGTTCTAGAATGAGAACTAAATACAACATATGGGCAATACGGTATACACAAACTAAATACAACATATGGGCAATACGGTATACAACATATGGGCAATACGGTATACACAAACTAACACATGAATTTCAAGAACCCACGTACTGATTTCACATATGAATTACGGTTGAATAGTATTTTCAAAACAGAAAAGTACCCATACTACTAACATTACCTTGTTTTCTTCAAGAGCCCGAGCAAAGAGAGCCTCCTTAGCTTCTAAGGATTCCCGTAAAGATGTTTCTTCATCTTTTGCTTTTGAAGCATACCCTCTAAGCCGTTTTAACCTCCCCAAATTCTCAGCAGGTACAGGCTGGCCATCAACCAGTTCAAGTTTCGCCTCAGCAGCCTCAAGCTCTTTCTGAGCTTTGATTGTAGCTTCCTCTGCTGATGACACACTCTTCTCAAGTGACAGAATCTCACTTCTGAGATCAGTGATTCGATTGTATGTCTTGTTGATTGTGTTTCTAAGGATCTACAACAATAGATAGAATTAGTCAATTGATTCACCATGCATGCAAGGAACTGCACAGGCCATAAAAGAAGAACACTAACGTATGCATCCACTAAGATTACAGTCTGTTAGTCTGTACATATTAAATACTGCTGCGTACATACATTCAGTGCGTGTGCATGCATACAGTACATAGATACATTGATTTTGTTTGATATTTGTGCCAACATGTGCTGCGCATCAAGGCACATATACCAAAGATAATCTGATGTGTAGCACGAATCCCAAAGCAAAATCAAAGGATAAAAAATTGGAGGACGAGCTTCTAGGGTCTGGATTGGTGTAATGGGAGGTAAGGGACGATAGGGATACATTAACCTTGTTTGGGAATTCATAGGTAGATAATGAGAGGGAAGTTAAGGTAATGGAGGCGGAAAACTTTGAGATTTTGCAATCCCACCCACCCCCCCCCACCAACAACGCTGATTGGGTGTAACCTGGTGGAATGGTCGTCTTGAAAAAAAATTAGCTCAAATCAAACTTTATCACTTGTTATCAAGATGAAGTTCCAAGGGGTGAAATAAATGTAATGTATTTTATAACGATTTACACTTCCCCCGCGCTAAACCTTCCCTTCACTTTATTAAAGTACGCAAACATCGAGAGAAATAAGTTATACTTGGTTCTCCTTACTAAATTCCCAAGCGAGTTTTGTATATTACCTTAACTTCCCTAACTTAACTTGATTCTATCTTCCCTATTTCCCTCACTAAGGGGACATATCACAAATGCCTTATGTTTATTCTAGCAAAAATTTCACAAAAGCACATCCTAATTAAAAAGAAAACAGTTCTTCATGTCATCTAGCTAAGTTCAGCATAAAAATTGTAGAATTGGAAATCTCTAAAGTGGGCACTCTTTGCTAGCTATAAATAGCAAGGCATTTAACATTCTTCCAATAATAACAGTCTGTATAAATAAAGATAATAAAGAAAACTTGTGTGGAACTTGAATAAAAATACTGGCAGGCATATTACACAGAAGAAGAAAAGCAGGTAATGCTGTCTAAAATAGACTGGACAATTCTACACGTCTTTTCATTGTCGAGTTTACTTCCTAAGCTGTGAAACATTTCTGTATTATCTTTCCATGTTACTTAAATTCTTCAAGCAAGCCATGGACCCAAACTAATTCTACATCGACATTCAATCCAAAACTATCTACCTTTTCCATTACATCTAGTATTCATCATTGCAAAGCAAACAATAAGCCAGCATTATGATAAGAAACATTAGTAAAGAGAAGGAGAAAAGGTTAATAAAGAAAAATCGACCGGAAAAATCTAATTAACTTTTCTCAGAATTTTAATAGTGGTATGATTTATTCTTTAGGATAATTATTGATATCAGCATACAGTATGCACAACAGTTGGCCATTATTATATACTTAGAAAACTCACAGCTAAACTTCAGATACTAGGTCGCAAAAGGACCTCCCAATAAAAGGGCATACCTCCCATGGTCTATCTGAAAGATGGACTAGTAGTTAACATTTGATGGAGAGAAAACCAAGTGACAACTTGCCAGATTGTGATATGAGGCGGTACCCATCATTCGTTCAATCTTCGTAGTGCGATCTTTGAGAACTCCTTCTTCCAGTAGGAGTAACTTCCTCTATCAGAAGAATTGACTATCATGATCAGGACAAAGTTTGCAATAATTTGACATATCTCTCAAACGGTAATTAATGAGTGAAACTCTTCCGAACCAAGTGTCCAAAAGGTCTGGATTAGCAACTTCAATTGTCAAATCTGTGGGCATGTGGTAATGATACTTTTTCTAAGACTGAAATAAGTTGTTGTACACTTTTCTTGCTTACATACTGCTAAATTCAGAAGAAAAGTGGCATGCCATGTGTTTTCTCCACCATCATTGCTACTGTACATTGAATTGGTCCATCTTTTGGAGGAAGGAACTTTCTAGTTCTGGAGGCAATTTCTACCTGTCTGTAGACAATTAAAGTACATAACAGCTCTCAAAAATTCCATGAGGTCGCCAGTAGCAACACTACGTGATGAACCCATATACAGACACTAGGAATTAATCTTCAAAAAACTCAGATGTACATCAAAACATGATGGCGATCATCCAGGCGATTGATGTCACATGGGTCTTACAAGCCGTTTCTGAGAATTGGTTACATAGAATCTCCCTGTACTTGCATGATTGTATAGATGTGGTACACACACACACATCGCGAAATTCACAGAATACTATATATACAAGTATAATTTATGTATGTACATAATCTAAATGCAAACGAGGTGGCATTGCATAGAATAAAGGAATGAAAAGCATGCAAGGAAGAATAAGCATTTTAACAGAGTCCTCTTGAAAGGATCAAATTCAAGAATAGAAGGTAGAAAACTCAACTTTTTGCGCTTTAACGATTATATGCCTAGTTTACTAAATTGCAATTTCACACTGGCATCAATTATTGCATCCTGTTCTTTTTTTCACTTACTTGATCATTTTTTCTCATCATGTTATCAGTCATTTGCTTGTTTCCTTCGAATTAGTGGCTCCAGGTATATGCCATGCAAGCAAGAGTGAATTCTTAATACCTAATTGGTTATAACATTTTCGAGTGGCTTTATATAAGTTAAATACAATGGGGATAAATAATCTCATGCTCTCTCACACACAACGGAGGA